TGCTGTTAGTTTACAAAAGATAACAAAATTAAAAATTTTTTAAATTTCTACAATATCCTACAAATAGTTGAAAAATTTATTTATCCATTTTTTAAAAAAAAAATTGATCAATTAAATTTAAATTTTGTTAAAAATTTATACCCTTCTTTAGCATCTTCACAAATAGCATTCTCTGAACAATCATTTAATGATGCATCTAAGCATTCATTTATTGCTTCAACACAACGACGACCAGGTAAACGTTCAAATGAATTGGATATATCAGCAAAACCAGGACGACAACTACAAGAAATAACTTATATTTTAACAATCTTTTATAATAATTAATTGTATTATAATGATTTATTTGTTTTATTTAATTAATTGGAACAAAAATTTTGGAATAAAAACTTCATTTAATATATATTAAAAATATAAAATTTAATTTAATATTTATGTATATATATATATACCTGCACGTATAGTCTTCATCCGTATCAATACATACAGCATTAGGATCACAATCAACATGATATTTCTGTGGTTCAGCGCATTCATTTACTCGAGTACGACAAATGCGCCCTGGTTTATCTGGTGATGATAAATCCGCAAAACCATTTTTACACTGACAAGTATAACCATCAGCCTATAAAAATATTATAACAATTTTTTTTTTAATACATAAAGAAAGAAATTATAATTCTTTTCTTTAAAAAAAAAAATTTAAATGTTAATTGATTAATGAAGTTTTTTTAATAAAATTTCATTTCCTTTTTTTTAAGTAAATAATTTCAATTTTTTTTTAATTTTCAAATGATATCATTCATAATTTACCTGATCAATACAATTAGCATTTAAAGCACAATCATTAAGGCGTTGATCATCACATTCATTAATTACCAAACATCGACCATCCGGTAAACGATCATATCCGGTTGCACATTGACATTTATATGTACCATTAACAAATAAACATACTTCTTTTTTTTTGCATCACAACTCATTGGATCATTAACATCACATTCTGGTGGTTCCGGAATAAAAGCTGAAAAAAAAAAAAAAGATTTTCAATTGAAACGAGTTTATACATATATATCTGTTAATGTCTATATGTATGTTTTTTTTTTCCTTAACCTAAATTTCATTATACAATTATTTTGTATTTTTTAAAAAGTTGAAATTTTTTTTTTTTTGCACTCTTATTCATGTTTACTTTTTTATTTAATAGTTGAAATAATCAATAAAAATGAATACATATTTTGTTGTTAATTTAAATTAAATCAAATTTATTTGATTTAATTAATTGAATATTTTGTCTAAATTTTTAATTTAAAAAAAAAGAAAAAATTAATTTCCATCAATGAATATAATAAATTAATTTAATAAATTTAAATCAATCAAAAAAATTTTAAAACCTTTAACACAAACACGTCCAGGACGATTGGTAATATCAGGACTTTCATCACGATATCCATCACGACAACGACAAGTAAACAAATCAGCTGTATCAATACAGGATGCAGATGATGAGCAATCATGTTTACCGGTTGCACATTCGTTTATTACCCTTAAAAAAAAAGTATTTAATCCTAAATGATAATTTACTTAGATGTTAGATTAATTTGATATAATTATTTATGTTAGCATTTGTTTTACTTTTAGTAAATTTTAGCAAATAAATTTTTTAAACTTATTTTTGTAACAATTTTTTAATTAATTCTTAATTAGCCAAACAATAGTAATTAATTGTATTTCATTTTCAAACAATTAATGATAACACTTAAACAGATCATAATTTACACCAAAATGATTTTAATTTAGGATTACTACCCTATAACTTTGATTGAAACAAAAAATTCAAAAAAAAAAAAGTTTCAAATTCTACAAACTTTCGGCAAACATGTCCTGCAGCCATACCATGTTGTCGAGAAATATCCACATAACCTGAGAAACATTCACAAACTGGTCCAAGTTGTGTCTCACGACATTCCGCTTCTTTGGCACATTGAATATTGGCACATATATTTGACTAAAAAAAAAAAAGAAAAAAAGGACTTAATTTGCATTTTCAATTAAATAAACAAACAAAAGGAAAATATGTAAATTTCAATCAATTGAAATATCCTTTTAAATATTGAAATTATGCTTAATTTTAACAGTTATCTTAAACAATTTACTAATATTTATTCATTAAATTTAGTAATAATGAAAATTTTTAAAAAATTTTTACTGCTTAATCTTTAATTTCCTATTTACAAAACGAATAAATCACAATTATTGTATTCATATTTATTTAAATTTCGAATTAATTTAATTTTTCATTTATTACTCTGAACTAATTCAAATCATTTTATACCTTTCTTACAACGACGCCCAGGTGCACGTTGTCGATTTGGACTATTATCTGTCCAACCTGGTTTACAGTGACATTTATAACCATCTAATGTATCCTCACATTTTGCATTCTCATCACATTCATGAGTACCAAGGACACATTCATTTACTACTGCAAAATTTCTATTTTATTTATAAAATTTAATGTAATATCGATCGACTTAAAATAAATATCATTAAAAAAAAATTTTTGAATTTGTAAAATTTAATTCAAATTCTGGAATTAAAATAGCAAATTTAGGAATTTTAGTAATTAAGACTTATAGTTCTTAGAATGAATTTACTTAAAGTGATGATAAATTTATGGATTTTTTTTTTTTTTTTACCACTTCTCTTGACTCTGTTAACATTATGTCCTTTTTCGTACTTTTATGACTTCTTTAAGCATCAAAATTGAAATTTAACTTTTTATAAAATTAAAAAATAAAGATAAAAATTGATGAATAATTAATTATTTATTCATATTTTCTGTTTAATATTTTTTTTAAACAATTTTTTTTAAAAATTTTATTTTATACAAAAAATTTAATGTAAATTTTTTCGTCTATCATTTATTCCGCCAATTTATCAACATCATATATTCCCTTACTTTTATACAATTTCTTGTAAATCAAAATCAAAATTAATTTTTTCAAATCAATTTAAATTTAGTTATTTATCTTTTTTTATTTAATTTTCGTTTTCCGTTTTTTTTTTCAGTAAAGTTCAAATTTGATTCTTAGTAAAAAAAAAAAAAATGACAAAAGAAAGATCTCAATTAAACATACACTTTCATATATTTGATTTGCATATTTCTCATATACATTTGTATAAAAGCAATAATTTATACGTTAAGGTCAAAATATGATTGTAAAAAAAACAAATAATAAAATAAAAAAAAAAGTTCACTTGACATTCTTACCCTTTCTTCCTTTTTTTCTTTCTTTCTTTTTTTTTTAACAATTTAACCCAAACGATGACACAGAAAAGGTTATTTACATTCCATAATTAAATGAATTTAACAAATTTATCGTTTAGGAAGAAAAAAAAAAGAAAAGAAAAGAAGGACAAAAGAAAAAAGGGAAAAAAAAGGAATGATAATATAATTATTAGCCATAATGTAATTATTTTCAAATCAAATAATTGTTTGAGAATACTTTCAATTAAAATAACTTTTAAAATGATTCGTTTTTCTTTTTTAAAAAATAAAAATAAAAAAATTTCGATGATATTTGTTTAATTTAAATTTTTAATTTTTTCATTTTTAATTTTGAATTTAAATGTTTTAAATTTAGAAAAAAATACAATTTTACTTTTTTCCTTTCTTTTATTGTACCATTTTGAAAAGTAAAAAATGAAGAAATAAAAAAGAGAAA